ATTACTGGAATGAAATTCAAACGCTATGATTTGGAAGCTAAACTTAATATTTAAACTCATCACCTCCAAAAAACAGTGCGGATTTGGAAAAATATTTTGTGTCGTAATTTATTATTTCAGTCCTCATCTTTCAAATTGAGTACAATATCACGTTTCCAAAATAGACCTGCCTTATTGTGCATGAAACTCAGAACTGTGCTACCGATCGATAAAAAATATATTTTTATGATTAATTCAAATGATATGTGTCTTATTATACATCGAGCACAAATTTATTTGCACCTGATCTCAGTGTGCGATATTTTATGTTCATATTTCGCTTCCCTCAGTTGAGCACTTGTTTACGTGGAAAAAAATCTCCATAGTTTTAGTGCAAACGGCCACCTAAAAATGGAAGCGTTGAACTTTGATTATTCTACCAAAAACTTTATGGTTCCAGATAAGAGATCTTACCTATTCTCTCTCTTACAATAGAGAACATCAAACGGATGAGATGGAAAGTATTCGCGGATATAAAGAAAGTTGAACATTATAGATTCAGATCAAATGAATCTTCACCACCAGATGATCAGCTGATGGACTTCGGGAAAGATCTATTCTATTAATAAAACAAAAATCATCAAATTTACTAATGGCTTGCAACGAAAAATTTGCAAAGATGCTTCAGATATTAAAAAAAAAGAAACGGATAAAATAATAATTAAAGCCGACAAGACGAGTAAACATAATAAATCCGATTTGAATGCGTTTTACAGAACTCTTACTAAAGAAATCTCCAAATTTTACAAAAATGGCGACGGAAAGTTAGGAAAAAGATGCCAGTAGAGAAGCCAAAGAAATAACTTTTGAATTAAAGATTGATGATAGAATCAACAAATTACATAAAGAACAAGAATTTATCCCTATTAAAGACCATAAAACGAATTTACAAAACAAACCTCAATATAGACTGTATATATATATATATATATATATATATATATATATATATATATAGAGAGAGAGAGAGAGAGAGAGTGTGTCTGTCCAAAAAAATATAGACTCTTCAGGAAAAGAAAAACTTGTCTTTCGTAGTTTTAGATAGGTTAGTAAAAGTTCCTACATAATCTGATGGACGTTCAATGCTAGGACAGGTCTACCGGTCGTGCTAGACAGGGAAGCTCTCGATTATATTGCAGGGCGTATATATGATAAAATTGTTTATTGAAGTATGATATTTTCTCGCCAGATGGCGCCCCTTAGACAAGAAAGGGAAAATGCATGTGCAGCAATCCCACTGGACACCTTGCCCATCGTTGCCCAAGCAGTAGTCCGCCGTACCAACAAATGTCTGCAAGTTAAAGGCCATCATTTTGCGTATCTCTTGTGATAGGTAACTTTTGTTACTCTCGTGATGCCCGAATAACTTTAGTATTACAATATTCCTCCTGAAGTGTGTACACATTTTTGAATATATGTATATATATATATATATTTTTGAATATATATATATAGAGTCTGTCCAAAAAATACGAGGATACGAGGAGCCAGTCATCTATATCTCCATTATGTGTTTGTACTCACGCATCCATACAATCATGATAAAGGTAAATAGCATTTTACGATATATTATTTTATTCATATTTATGCAGTTGGGCTCAGAAGATCCCAGCACTGTCGATCTGCTCACGGAGATCAACAGAAGATATGGACTAGCGGCAGGTGTCAAGAGAGACCTCTGGAAATCACTATGGCGGTGTTGCGACAACTCTCGATGAAGCAAGCTATGAGTTTACAACGTCGCTGTCTCCACTGACCTACGGCACCAAGACATGGCCTCTCAGCCCAAGATCATCGCGCGGTGCATTTGTCCAATCGTGTGTCCAATGGAGCGGCAAACCAAGTATCCTCCATACCATAGCTTAGCACCGTGTTCGCTGGATCAACGACTTGATGACCAGTGTACCAGAGTCATCTAAAAGTTCGACCCGCCATCTGCAAACTGGAGACGTCCTCGCGGCAGACTAATCTGTTTCGACGCTCTGCTAAGATAGGGATAGCTGGAAGGACCGGGTGGCTTTTATAGGCTCAACGCCTTCATGGCATACCGTTTAGGAGCAGCTGCAGCAGCGTATTACTCTTGTTGTTGCAGTGCAGCATGAGTTTTAGATACGGTAGTAAAAGTTCAGACATAATCTGATGCACGTCCAATGCTAGGACAGGTCTACCGATCGTACTAGACAGGGAAGCTCTCGATTATATTGCAGAGCGTATTAAGTAGCATGGAGAAAAAGTGGGCAGGCATTATTCTGCTGGAAAGAACATCTTCTTGTTAAAGGAATTACAAAACAACGGTTTGAACAGTACTGTGCATGTATTTGGCATTGTTCAGTATTCCACTTATAGAAGCGAAAGTTGTAAAGTAGACACCCGAAAACCTGAGAAAAAAACGGTGATCGCGGGTGAAAATGTTGCTCAAATTGTTTGTCGAATACGCAAATAAACATCGCTTGCATGAAAACACAATCTACTCCTATTACTGAACACGAGAAGGTGTTAGATGTCTTTCTCATGACATAATGGTGTTTTCCAAGCGTAGCTTCGATGTGGCACAAGGCTGAAAGTAGGGGGAACTCAGTGAGTATCGAACTCCCTACTCAGTCGTAATTGTTCTAGCAAGACAAGCTTGCTAACCACTACACCGTCTCGAGGTGCCCAAACGGGGCTGTGATATAAAAGGATCTCTTGCGAGAAGCGCGCGTGTCCAGCTGTGAGTAAACGATTCCCACCTGTCCGAGTTCGTATTCGTGGGACAACATTTGCTCTGGCCTCTGCTCTGGTGTGGTGAGCACTGCGATTTTCGCCATTACGACCGTATTATGTAACCATCCTAAACCTGGCCTACTGGTGTTCGAGTTGCCAGCACCGAAGCATCACCGACACGTCACACTCTACGTGCCGAGTATTTCTTCGAGATGATCCCCCAATCTATTGAAGATCGAAAGTACGATCCAAACCACTCAAGAAGGATTAGCAAATTACTAAGAAATACCAACATTTCGTTCGAAACAAAGAAAATAGGGCGGAACGCTCATGTCCACTATTTACATTATTCGGACTATTGTCCTCATCTTTGTTGTCATATTTTTCACAACGTTTCGGCCGTTGTACGCTTCGGATTTCTTCAGGTCGTTGGAATGTCGAACTGAATCCTTTATTTCGCTCGCTGGCGTAGACTAATCTAGTTCCACGTGCCATGTTTTATGGATGTCAGTTATCAGTTAACTCCTGTTAATACCCCTCTCCAAGTTCTCCACTGCCTTAAACAGGTATTGAACTCACAACTCTTTGGGTCCTGTTAATGAGACGTTGTGATAAATGTGGCAACAAAGATGAGGACGATAGTCCGAAACGTTTTGATAAATATGACAACAAAGATGAGGACAATAGTCCGAAACGTTGTGATAAATATGACAACAAAGATGAGGACAATAGTCCGAAACGTTGTGATATATATAGCAACAAAGATTAGGACAATAATCCGAAACCTTGTGATAAATATGGCAACAAAGATGACGACAATAGTCCGAAACGTTGTAATAAATATGGCAACAAAGACGAGGACAATAGTCCGAAACGTTGTGATATATATAGCAACAAAGATTAGGACAATAATCCGAAACGTTTGTGATATATATAGCAACAAAGATTAGGGCAATAATCCGAAACCTTGTGATAAATATGGCAACAAAGATGACGGCAATAGTTCGAAACGTTATGATAAATATGGCAATAAAGATGAGGACAATAATCCGAAACGTTGTGATATATATGGCAACAAAGATTAGGACAATAATCCGAAACGTTATGATATATATGGCAACAATGATAAGGACAATAGTCCGAATAATGTAAATAGTGTACATAATACCTCATCTCAGAAATACAGACAGATATTGAACTCTCATGTCATATCGATCCTCGGTTTTCATCCGGAATTGTACCTGAACGATTTTAAAGTATGTCAAGGCTGGAAAGTAAAGATTGAGCAGCGCCAGCGCAGCACCAATAATCCATTTTTGCTCTGAAAAAATAGCAATCCAATTATTTCAGCCATGTGCCAAACTATGAAAAGTTACGTAAATACTTATTCTTATTCAAAAAGCAACGCAGAAAGACAGGTACGTATAAAAAGAAAGCAGAATAAACAGGTGTGGTAATGAGCTTACTCCTGTTTCGGTGCTACTGAGTGGAATAATACCTTAAGGAGGCACTTGAACACCCACTGAACCCAGAAAGCCACCTTGCCAGATGTAGCAAGCAAACCCTGTAGACGAAGATAGTAAATTGGATTCTCGCTGGGCATTAAAAAAATTGTGGCCATGTGCAGTTACTGAGCTTAATATTTTGGAAATATTTGTGGCGTGAGGGTTATTGAATTACACTAATGTAACGAGGTTGACTTTGAGTGGGCAGTCTATTGCTGGAACCTTGTGTTAGACTAAGTTAAATTCAGTAAATATCGATATAATGTCAAATCAAGATAATGTTAGAGAGCATTTCTCTAAAAATAATATAAATTTTAATTTGAAATATTATCAAATGATTTCTTTTTTTTTAGGGATACGTATGGAGTAATGATAGCAGCTCGGATTGAGGAATCGGAGAGCCGAGTTCGAATTCCAGTCGAATCTATTACATTCGCTTAACGTGCTAATACTCTTGGGGAAGGTATGAATCCTTTTCTTCTCTCCCAGCTATGGGTAAATAGAAGGATAGACCTGGTTCTATAGCTTTGGATGGTAACTGCGTGGAAAAATATCTGCCTCGTCAGTCATGTATCGAAAGATACATGATCGCCTAAGCGTGTATCACGTATGGCGCATAACTGACTGACATACGTACACAGATACATAAATAGACAGTATGGACATGGAAATCAGCATCTGATCTGATGGCAGATAGATAGATAGATAGATAGATAGATACGATCAGATATCAAATAATCTAATACTTATATATTAACAAAGATAGATAGATATGAGTAGGCATTGATAGGTAAATATGAATAGATTAAGATAGATAGATATGAACAGAGATAGATAGATAGATAGATAGATAGATAGATAGATAGATAGATAGATTTCCATATCAAATATGGAAATCAGTATACGGCTTTTATTGGGGCGATAAATTTTGCGATTGGAGTGTATATTTTTATGAAGTGTAAGTTGGAATTCTTTTACCTTTATTTTTTTTAATTTTTTATCTTTCTTCGGCAAACTGTACACAGGCCTCGAACTCAGTGTTTAAGTAAGTGATTTTCCATTCCCCACATAACGACAGGGTTCTAAAATATCCGATATTAAACATAGATTTCCACATACAACTAAATTAATTCCGACAGCACCAAAAGATCTCTGCAGAAGGACAAACAATTTGTTATAGGAGTTTTCTTTTGCTATTACAGGGTGAGTCAAAATTACGTTAAGAATAGTATAAGAGCAATTATTTATTCAGACTTTACTGAACTTTACTAAACAGTCTCCACCTGTTGACCAGCACGATTGGGGCACAAAAAACCAACGATCAACAATACAATATAGTGCTTTGATGATGTCTCTTTTTGGCTAAACACGCAATCCTTTATTATGCCACATAACCAGGAGTCACAGGGTGGAATTGGCCCATATTTCTTTACAACTCCAATTGTGACTGCTAATGCTTACTTACAAATGCTGCAAGAGTTTGCCATTGATAACATGCCCCCTACAAATCAGACGAGCAGGGTATTTCCCACAGGATGGTGCACCGCCTCATTTTGCTCGTAATGTTTGTGCTTGTCTCGATCAAAGTTTCTCAAATCGTTGGATAGGTCACGGCGGACCGTTGGCATGGCCACTACACTCCCTTGATTTGACACCCTGTGACTTCTGGTTATGGGATATGATAAAGGATTGCGTGTATAGCCAAAAAAGAAACATCATCAAAGCACTATATTGTGTATACGTATATAGAAAAAAAGTTAAAGACATCGAAGAACTCAAAGACAGAATAAAAAGGTGTAATATTAAACATTCCCCGAGAAATGTGTGTCAAAGCACTAAAATGTACTGTTGATCGCTGTTTTTGTGCATCAATCGTGCTGGTGGACAGGTGGAGACTGTTTAGTAGACTCTGAATAAATAATTCCTCCTATACTAGTGTTAACATAATTTTGACTCAACATGTATTTCAAACGTTATATTTAGTTGATACACAACTTCGAGTCGATATCCCATTTAAAAAGAAAAACAATGTAACCTTACGTCTACCGACCTGTGCATTCGAGAATATAAAAAAAGCTAGAGTGTCTTCCGGTATGTTTCGAACCTGCGTCCCCATCATATGGGAAACCACCGTCTATCCCAGCCTACTTTTGACGACCACAGAAATGTTCCACTACTCAGCGAGATTTTTCAATAGGAGAGATTTTATTGTAAATCACACAGCATTTATTTAACAGTTAAAAAATTTAAGCACATTGCCAGACAGAGAGTACCCAGTCTCAATTAGCCGACGATTTATTGGCAATTCGCCGAGTAGCGAAATAAACGAACAATAGCGAAACGCAATCAAGCTACCTATTTCATAGGTAGCTTGATTCAGAACAAAAAAAATATATGTAACATTTAAAAAGAAAAAATGCAATCATTATAACTGGCGTTATGAGTTACTATCTGGTAAATTTTTTTCTTACCATATACAGAAGTGGCTTTGTGGAAAGAGTGTGTCAAAATATAAAATAAAGTGAGAGTAAATGCGAGTAAATTAAATGCATTTTAATTGTTTTTTATTACTTTACAATAAAGACGCTAAGACGCAAGCGGGGTGGGGTATTTAGTGTGAAAGAATGAAAGAAAACCTGCATTATTTACATTATTCGGACTGTTATTATCTTCATTGCCATTGCCGTTGTAAGCTCCGGCCTTCTTTGGGTGATTGTTCGAGTTCTGTGTGCCATTCCTCTTTCGTACCTCGTAGTTATTTCCCTTTAACTGAACTCTCCAAGATTTTTTGGTTCACCATTGCTGTGGTCTGATATCGAATTCACAACTCTTTGTATCTAGTCACTGGATCTAACTAATGTCTTTATCCACTGCGCCATGTAACCTTGAGGACATAGAAAGAGAAAATGATTGTGAAGGAGAGAAAACAATAAGAGAAGAGGAATTATGTGGACAGAAGATAACGATTGACATTGAATATAATTTTATTTTAAGATCAAAGTTGATTAGAAAGCAAGAAGCCGGAAGTGAGTGTCGTAAGCGAGAGGTGAAAGAAACTGTTAGCATGAAATTTATGTTTTACAAATAGTAATTTCATCTGTAAAATGTTGAGACCTAACTGCCAATAAAGTACTGCACTTAAATTCGCCAAGTCGAGGTACCAAAGAGGAAAACTCATTAGAATAATTAACATGATAATATTTATAGAAATGGCGTAGGTAAGTTATGTTAAGTGACTGAAGACGAGATGTCATGTCAGGACATTTAATATTGAAGATTCTTCTTCAGATTTTCTCAAGAATCTCTAAATCCATAGAATAAGCATCGGACCAGATGTGATAAAAATATTCAATGCATGGACAAATGATCGAATTATAAATGTATGGTAGATTCTGGTGAGAAAAATTGTCTAGTATAAGACAGGGAAGCAGAATTCCTAGCAGCTGGATTCAATATAGTCGTTCTACTTCACGTTAGTGACCAAGAATGCAGTTACCATTTTAGATAATGATTTATGAATGAGTTGAAACAAAACAAAAAAAAAGAAGAAAAAAACATCATCTAGTATGTCATTTACTGCTTTGCAAATGTAAAAAAAAAATGAATTGAATTAAAGTTTCATTGCCATTATTTTTTCACTGTTAAGCATTTAATTTCTACACATCACTGTACAAATTAAATGTGCTCATAATTTGTAATGTTTCACAGAAATTTTAAATAAAAAAATGTCAATCTTTATTGAATCTGCCCAAAAGGTGTTACTATTTGTATATGACTTTTCAACTTTCAACATTTGTTCCTTTGAGCTTCTACAAGTTAAAACCAAAACTAATATTGACAGTTTTGTAAGAAAATGTGTTATAAAATTAACAAATATGAAAGTGGAAACTGAATCTAAGTAATGAAAAAATTCAGCTCTTGGCATAGAGTTGTGATATTTACACACCCTTTCTTCCACTTGCTTTTTTAATACAATTCTGTAAAAGACATATTGGGACAAACCAAGATCATCTAATCAAAAACAATTAATCACTACCCCCAGGGTTTGTCTGTCTCTCTCATTTAAAAACAAGTGATTAATCTGCAGATAGTTTTCAGACACATTTAATTTTATAAATAATATATGGAAGGCTGGTTTATATAAAACTGATTGCAAATTAAAGGAGAGTTAAAAAAACTGTTTACATTTCTTAAAATGCACAGAAATTATGAACCAGATTGAAACATTATGCACATTAAGCTGTATGTCACTTAAGCTTAATTTATTGCAATTGTTTCCATTGAAGATTAAAATTCTGGGGGAAAATCTACGGTTTTGTTCCTGTTAAGGCCAAAACTTGGCAGTTCATTTGGAGAGAGATTATATTCAAAAGGTCACAATTTCAAAGTTTCAAGAATATCAACTTAAAAGACAAATAATTTATTAAATTCCTAAATTCTACAAGTGAAATAGGATAATGGTAAAAATCAATTTCAACTTTAAGAAGCAATATTTACAAACCCAACTTAGTATCCCAGTGACACATCAGGGTAAATAAATTTGAGACACATTAAAAAAAGTAACACGAGTAATTCACCTGAGGCTTGCAAATTATATGAGGATAAATTTATTATTAATTAATCTAATAAAATTTCTCCAAGATAATTATATCTTGCAAACAGAAAACAAAAGGTTAAAATTAATTTTAAGAAATTTTTATAATATAATGGTCAGTTTTTTTTCATTAATTTGGACTAATATCTTTCCATATATATTTTGCTTTACTACACACACACACACACACACACACACACACACACACACACACACACACACAAATGTGCAAAAAAGATTATGACCAGCAACGTGTGGCAAGAATGCCAGCTACTGTCTTGTAACTGTACGTCACCATCAGATGTATATAAGCAAATGAGGTGTTGAATGCCGCATGTATGAGCAAAAAGGTTTGCCTGACATTAATAAAGGTCACATTGTTTTAACCAGTTGATTCTGTCAGGCTATTTCCAAAGCAGCAGAGATTGTGAGGTGTTTCCAGTACCTCTGGAGAGTAAACCATAGAGGGAGCATGAAAAAAAAAATCAACTGGCAACAAGGCACTAGGCAGCTAAGACTTATCAATGCAAGAAGTAAACAGAGGCTTTTTACTAACTAAATACAAGCTGACAGAAGAGTACAGCACAGTATATCAATTCTTATCAGTCAGAACACTGATGCCAAGTCAATAGTGTCTTCAATAGATACAGGGACATCAGAATTACACAGTATATCAATAGAAGAGAGTTAGATAAGTCTCACTTTCTCATAAATAAAGTGCACAGCAGGGTACAGTTGCATCAGTATCCTGAGAAGCAATGGCACCAGGATGCACTGTAGAGAGAAGAATGCATCAATTGAAGCACTATGGCGGTTTGAGTAATGTTCTATTTAGATAACATTGGACCTTATCAATCCCGTGAATGTTATTTTGTTGTGTACTACCTACATCCCTTCATCATATGTCTTCTACAATGAAAATACAAAATGTTTGTGAGTGATTTTAGAAACATGAAAAACTTCACTGTGTTATCCTGGCCACCAAGTTCACAATGTCCCAAAGCCATTGTCTACTTACAGAACATGTTAGAACGACATGATTTCTTTGCAAAAAATCCACCCACCCCACTAATAGGCATCATTTAAAAGATCTGCCATTAACATTATGGCAGCAGATTTCAGAGGAATTTTTTAGAGATATTGAAGAGTTCTTACGTGATTGGGCAAGAAGTATTTTGTTTTGCAGACTCAAACGGACAAATCAGTTGAAAAAATATTTTGGCTCATTAGTATGTGTGTATGTAAGAGGATAGTCCAAGACCTATATTCAGAATTACTTATATATTCGTTTGGCGAAGTATCCAATTCAAAAG